AATTTTGCATTAGTTCCTGAGGAATCCTTGTTCTGTGGTACTTCCATCCTTGGCTACGTGTGCAGACGTGGGAAAGTAGTTTCTGTGGAGGTTCTCTGATTGTTGCTATAGTCAAATCTTGGTCGATTGTCCTAATTCTTTCTTTAATATTTGGTATAAATTCCCCCGAGAATTCCGTTTTGTTGATGCTAAGCTTGAAGTATTTTTGCTAATTTTCTTTCTTTCAATTTATTGCATATAGTCGTAATAATTTGTAAAAATTCATTAAAATTCATTAAAATTCAGGTCCTTCTATTTTCTCATATCTACTTGTTGTGTTACAAAAATGGGGCCGGAGGCGCCCATTTTCGTCCGTTCTGAGCGCAGGAGAGAAGGGAGAGGGTTCATTAGAGGTTACAATGGTTTCACAGTTGGTGTAACATGTGGTTTAACAAATAGTTCACAAGTGGCGATTTTGGTGGTTAATTGACTGGTTAAACTATATTACTATATAAATCACATGATACAGAACCCATAAGAGTCTAAAATGGGAAATTCCCATTTCCATAACATGTTGTATGGGGGTTTTGTGATTTATCTGGCATATTTCCATAATGGGATTCCATAGTGTGACCGTTATTTCTCCTACAACGCACACAGCCACATCCATCCAGGTATCTCTGCAAGAGATCCCAGGAGCGCCTGGTGTGTGGGAGGCTGCCCAGCAGGTCCGGGCATGTTGTACTGCAGCCAGGCCAATGGTACACTGATAGAAGGGAAGTTGTCCGTGTAATAAGTAAGGAAGAAAGAAAAGAGAAAGGAGGAAGAAAGAGAGGAGGAGAAGAGGGAGGAGGGAGTGGGGAAGGAGTGGGTAGCGGGGGACTGGGTCAGCTGGGGCCAGGTCAGGTGGGTGTGCCCTGACACACATCCGGTCTCTAATGTCATATCCATTCCCGGCCATCGACTTCCGGGCTCTCCGACCCCTCCGTTCTAACTCCGCTCCCCCCTCACCAACCTTGGAGCCCCCGTATTCCGCAAACCTCTCGGTACCCCTCGATGGTCACCACCCCCTCATTTCAATTTATTACCTACGCCTCCCTAAGTACGGAGCCCTGAAGACTTCCGGACAGCTCCGACGTCCGCTAGCGCACTCCCGCCTCTGCTGGGCAATACACTCGCCTGCCCTGCAGAGTCCACCTTCGGGCCTATCCCTCCTTCCCGTTTCTGGGTTAACGCCTGCCTTTCCGCTAACCCCGCGAACCGACTCGTCGGTAATATTCAGTCGGCTAATGTCTTAACCCCGTTAGCTCCGCTCCGTTCGGCTCCGCCAATTGCGGAACCGTCTCCGCTGTAACCATATATATACACTACTTGTACATAGGTTATGCCCCAGCAGAAAAATCAACTAGAGTTACCCCCACTAGGTTCTAAGTGCCAGTCAGTAAGTTAGGGCACGGACGTGTCACTAGGCACAGCGCTCCTGGCAGAAGTCGCTGAGGCCAAAGCCCTCCGTTACGGAGACATTCCTTCGTCTTAAATCTGGTCTCTGACATCTAACAGGTGAGGGAGAAACACAAATTATACAGTACCAGCAGCAAAAGGGCCAAGGTCCCCATTCCATCCTGTGCCCCAACCTCAGACACAAATCATACCTCTGCTCCAAGATCCCCTTGGTCCCTGACCTTGGACTTTGACCCCACCCTGGTTGCATTGGTGACATCATTTCATGTAAACACCATTGCCAATGTTCCTTGGACTTTTGACTCCACCTCCATAAGCTCTGCTACCTCCAAGTTTCATGGACCTACCCTCAGTGTAGTTCCCACTCCAAACTCCCTTTGTCTCCATTTGGACACCTGAAATTAAGGACCCCATAGACAAACGGTAGTGGCACAGTGCTCCCTTCTGAGTCGCTGAGGTCAAGGTCCTTGTAAGGGATTAACCTTACTTCACTATAATTCCAATTATAGTGATATTTATATTATGTTGCATCGCTATAATTCCCATTATAGTGATGCTGTTATTTATTTGTGCCAAGATATGTAATTTCATATATATACCTTGGAGTAGTTGTAAAGGCCCAGTAGCCTTTTACCTCTACCCTGTTGAATATACAGCACATTAAAGCTTATATTTAGATGGACTATCTGAGGCCAGAGGTGAACAGGGGAACGGAACGTTACTGTCCCCAAATAAGTAAGCACAACCTTTCAGTCCTCCTGTATTAAGTCTCCCATTCCACTTCTGGAACTGTTCACATCCCACATCATCTAACAACTCCCCCATTAAATTATACAGTTTATTATAGTATACATTCTTGATGGACTGGGAACCAGGCCCCAACCTCAAATAAGCTACACACTTCAGGTAGAAACTACCCATGACTACATATTACAGGAACCCTCATAACAATAGTAGCCTGGTTAGCCTAAATTCCATTATCCACTGTTTTTATAGCAGGATTTTAATTTGTGGAGTTGTCTAGTAGGATTTTTTGTTGTGGAGCCGCCATGAAAATTAACCTACACTGTAGTTAGCCCTGATTAGATTCAATTGATACATTTGTGCATCCACAAAGCATGTATGTACATATGACTGGGTTCAAGTCAGATGATGGATATCTAAATGGTGAGATTTTTTTGATACCCCACTGGCATGTGAAGCTTTGTTAATACCACCATTTGTCATCAGTAAGTTGACAAGTGGCTACAGAATTTTTGTTATTTATGATGTGGGAACTTTAGGTCTGCATTCGCTCTGAACATGCAATTGGCTTCTTAAAAGGCCGATTCCAATCACTCCGAGGCCTTTGGCAACAAATCAACAGTGAACATGACTACCGGTTGGCATTGGCATGGGTACGCACTTGCCTTATCATCCATTCACTTGTGTCCTGGGTTGAGGATTTTGAGTCGGAGGAAGAATTTGCACACTGGGTTGCTGAGGGTTTACATGGCCATGATGAACAGCAGGATGAAGGGGAAGTGGAAGGTTTTACTTGGATGTCAGCTGAACCTCTGCCCCCTGGTGAATTGGAAGCTCAGTGTAAGTGCCATCATATTCAGGAGGCACTGTTCCATGAACTTTATGTGTAGAAGCTATGTTTACTAATCCATGAACTAGAATGGGTGTGTGGTTTGGGAGGATCCCGAGCCTAGCCCATCATTGGTGAAGTTGGCTTGCAGCATGCCAGAAGGTGGCAGCTGAGCAAGATAGGGGGGCACAAGTGGAGCCAACCCCATCTGTTGTGCTTGGATGCTGTACTTCAGCATCTTCCGCTCATGTTTCTGATCTTCACATCGTTGGAGGGCATCAATGTGGGCCATGCGTTGTAAGTGAAACTGGTCTGCCTCTCGGTGGGTCTGCTCTTGGTCACGGAGATTTGCTTCACTGAAATCAGCAAGAACATCACGTCGTCCCTTTCCATTACGGCTAATTCCTCCAGCATTGTGAGTCAAACCAACTAGTGTAGGGGTTGGAGTTGGAGAATTGGATGTAGGTGTCATCGGAGTTGGCAAACCATGGCTCCCTAGCTGAGCTGTGCTTAGGACATTTGGTTTGACCTCGAGTTTGAATTCTGGTGGGACAAGTTCCAGTTTGGGTTCTGATGACAGTTCATTAGTGAGAAAAATAGGGGAATCCAGACCAAGAGCAGCAGTGGGGGGCGGATCCTAGTAGCCAAATTAGTAGTGCTGGCATAGAACAAGGAATACTAGTCTTGCTAACCTTGATGATTGACCTTGTGTTGGTGCCCACAGTGGCCACACCCAATACCTCAGGAGATTCTTGTGCACCGACTGCATGTGTCAGTCTTGGGGCCGCTTGCTCAAACTCAGCAACCAATGCAGCCATACCAACAGCAGAGTTTGATATCATTCCAATTGAGTGCTTCGGCAAATTATGCCACATGCCATCAAGATCATCAAACCAAGGGAATTTTGCTCAGATATCCTCTAATACCAATCAAAGACCAGCATGGCATCAGTGATAGATGAATACATTACCTTGCAAATTGGCACGGATTTCTTCGCACTCCTCTTCAGACTTCACACCCTGACCAGTTTCACCAAGGAGTTTGATATATTTCTTGTACTGACTTTCCAGCCTACCCAGCGGATCATCAGCATATCAGCAGCATGCCAATTGACCATCACTCATCAACTTATTCTACCCTGTATAGCTGTAGTGTATTGGTTCAGAGCTGCAACATAGAATTCACACTCTGCCTCTTCCTCACGGTCCCAGATGTCCTTTGCAATAGCTGCCCAATAGTCTTTCTTCTTCTCACCATTAGAAATCTGGGGTAGAATAAGATGTTTGGAAGGTATGAGCAAGCAGAGTGAATCACCTTCAGTCGGCCCTCAGCCTTCGCAGTTTGGATAGAATCACCGCTCAGTTTCAACCTCACATTTGGATTCTCAAGCAGGTATGATACGAGACGGTCAGTCCAGTGGGGGTTCTCAAGCCACTGAACACAACGGGTTGCAGGAGGCTTAGTGGGGGGTTCAGCCTGGTTGCCAGTGTTCAGCTTTGATAAATGGCTGGAACGCTTTGAAACTGGTGCAAGTTCTGGGTCCAGAGCAGCAGGCCGCTTTGGTCCCATAGTTGGTTGGAGGAAATGAGTGTGGAGTGCCATAGTAATGAGTGTGGCAGGTGGGGATGTTGTGCAGTGTGATTCAGGTGGCAGGAACTGTACAGTTACATCAGAAACAAACAGATGAATACAGGACGGGATTAAGACTCTTTAAAACTGAGTTGTGAAAACAGGCAGTTGTGGTTTTCACAGTCTTGCGGCCTCGGAGCCGCAACACAAAAACACCCTCTTGTGGCACCCTTTTCAAAACACACCCGACTTTTGAGCCACTTGTGAGTTCGAGTTTTGGCAGAGTTTTCCAGCCGTGAATGTCCCTAATGCTGACCTGTTGCCTCTATTGCTATTGGAGGGGAGAGTGAGATCTTGAGATGCTGTCCAGCAGTGTCCAAATACTCAATTGTTAGGGCATTAGCCCCACACCCCTGAGTCACATGTACCAGGTTGTATTTGTAATCATGTGACCAAGCAGCACCTTCCAGTACCACTTAACACTACCATACAATATACATCATTGTAACACTTTGGTGTGCTGAGCAACCCCCCTGAGACCTCACATCGATATAGCAGATACAGGTTTGCCCAGCCAAGTTGGAAGAGAACAGGGATGATGGTGCACATATGAGCACCAGTTGTGAAACAAACTGTCCCAGAATGAGTGAACACATAATATTCCATTTAATATGAGCTGTAGGGAAGCTCATCTGCACCAATTCCTGTTCGTAGTAGGTCAACTTTCTTGACAAAGATTTCAGACAATATGAAAGCTGCAAGACTTGGGTCATTCCAGTATGATGAGTGAGCCTTTCCCGGAAACATCAGAGATCCCTAAACAAGGGGCTAAACCGCTCCACTTACCGTGATCATATCTATGCAGCAAACTTGATGAGTGGACAATCCCAACAAAACACTCTCCTGGACTTACCAACATATTCGCTCAAGTTCCCTTCACCTGGCAAGTAATAATCCAGCGTTCCATGCGAATTCAATGCTTTAAATCTGGAGAATGGTCGGCCAGCGGTTCCGAGAAGTGGGTTCATTCGCTTACCTTCGCTCTGCTCTATCCCCTTCTAAAACCTTTGCCTCCGATCCACTATCTGGCAGTTCAATACCGACTTGCATCCCTTGATGCATTGTCGACCGTTCCAAAGGGGATGCTCCCGATGGAGAACCGGCCGACTTCCGGCGACTACCTCCGCTGAAGTCGAACAGTCTGCTCATCCTCGATCTCAAAGGGGCCAACACGGGTGTATTCACATTGGGTATCGAAGAAGGGGGCAGTTCGCGCGCTCGTCTATGTGAGGGATAAGCATCAACAGTTCAATTGAGGGGTGACGGGAAAGGTGACGCACTCTGAATCAACACATGGGTTCATGAGGTAGCTAAACAAGCATAGCTCGTGAGTAATCTGTCTTGAAACGGCTGTCCGGATGCTTACGCGACAGGATCAGCGGGATTGAACTGAAAGTCATAAGACCATTCAAATACGAAAAAGAACACAAGGCCGAGGATCGACGCACGATGTTGTAAATTGAGTCTGTCGCAAGGCACCCGAAGAATCCGACCCGATCTAGCTACGTTCCTCATAAATTACGAAAGCTAGCTGGCACCTAAAATAAACACACCGCTTCATCATTCGGGGAGTACATTGTTCGCTCACGGCCCTAGATATAGGCACATAATTAGACCAGTTCCTTCCAGTAAATTAGCACCATAAAAAATAAAACTACCTTCCGTGCTATCAGTTGAGTCTAGTGATGTGGGTCAATGACAACTAGTCAACCACATGTGGCAACTGACGCACATCGTGGATACGGAGAAAAACGGGCAGAGGACTACCAAGGTTAAACACGGTGCTAATGGAACATTTGGAAAAGCACGCGCTCAGACTCTAGGACAAGTGCCTTACCTTGTATTGAACAAAAAATGCTCCATCTCTCTCATGGCCTGCTTGGGCGGAACAGTGGACAACGGGGGAACGATGGTTGGTTGATTTGAAAGGATGTGCGCCACGAGGGCCGTACCGAGGGAATGGGCAACGAGATGCTGGAGAATATTTATTTAGAAACGTACCTCGTTGATCAATTAACTTACCACCCTGCCCTGTTTCTCAAAATTAGGGTTCCGAGCACACCACAGACGATATGTTCGGTTCCTGAAATCAGAAGGTCATTCACTTTCCAAGCACGGTGTATCAAAACGACAAACGCTTGGTAACAAACCTGGGCGTTTGTCAGTACTGTTTACGCACACTGATGAAGAGTTGCAACACCAACCGATTCAATCATACGTTCCCGATGATGGCTCATATATAAGGGAATATCCGTTAGAACACCATTTGTAAGCTCTCTTATGAAGCTGCGTAAAGGGTTATGAGCCCATGTTCGGCGTGTTGCGCTTAGAGAACATACGGGATGCTTCCTTTCGGGGTTATCTCAGATAGTGTAAACTCATTATCCAACCCATCTTTGGACCCTTTCTTGTCCAGATCGTATTTCATACTGGCACGCCACTGAACTGGAAGGAACTGAACACGCTTCGACCTCACGATGGAAGCTAAAGCGGGTGAGACTGATTGCTTCCTTTTGATAGTAGTGATGAGATCCCGCTGTAATGACGTATTCCCAGACGTACCGTGCAACGTTTCGGAACATATTTGTTGCGTAGACCTGAGGACGGTGGCGTCAATCACGACCGGAAACGTGTACAGGGTCTGCACATACGAAATTGAACGACTCGTATTGTGCTGTCAACTGGGTGTACATGGCGTCAGAATCAACAAATGATCACCAAATGGATGGACGTACACCCTGGCCGATTCCATGGACAATGAGGATCAAGTCGGTCACTTCATGAACATTTTCCTCCATCTTATTAGAAACTACTCTCTTGCGATTCGTGATGATTGGACCCTGATGACAATGTTCGGGTAGGGGGCTGGGGACTTTCGGACCATTTTGATACAACTCGAGGCTGGAATCTTTTACTGGTGGATCCCGAACGGCATGGATGGCCACTTCGTCACAGCCTCGGTACACAGTTGTTGGTCCGAAATCCTTCGTTCCTGAGAACATTGATGCCAGCCCATGGGTTGTGTGCGATCTACGTAAGCGGGTAATGAATATCGAAGATGAGATAATAGCTAATGATCATTACGTTGAAATCAGCTGAGCAGAACCAGCATTGTTGAAAACGAGAGTGTACTGCGTTCCTTCAATGGGATGCCGAAGTTTCTCTCGGCCCTCTGGCCCTAATTCATGCGCCGTGCGCAATTCGTCTTGATAGAACGGCTGTTTGGGTGGATAAATATATGAATGAGTGACATTGAAGATTGCAACCCACCAACCATGGCTTGATGGACCTTGCAAGCGCGAAGTGTAAACAGTCCATCACAAAGAATGCGAAATAGGCCGAGCTCCTTACATATACGCATTCTCAATCTTCTCGCTGAGTTCGCTTTCAACGGGACGGCTCTGCGGAAGTGAGATTTTGTCCAAGGAAGTTGGAGGGAGCGTACCTCGGTATACATCCATACAGCCCTCATTACGTCAATCGAGGGGCCACCAGTACTCCAGTAGATCGGTCGAAGCTTACCGATGGAGAATTAGAGGTAGGGAGTTTAATGACAACGTCCCCCATCTCGTACCTTCATGGTGCGTACGTCAACTTCAAACAGCTGTTCCTTCCCGACAGGGACACCCAGAGTGACATCTTCCGCCTCCACCGCAGCAACTGGAAAGCAAAGAGTCAGCGCCGTGAAGAATAAATTGAGTGTGACCCTTACCTTCTTGGGGATCAAACGGCTTCCCCAAAGGTATATGGTCATCCACAGTATCAACGGTTGGTGTATCCACGGGACCCTGAACCTTCAGGTTTCTCCAAGCCAATTCGCAAGCATCTGATTCAACGCGCGTGAGAGCCTTCCACGTTGGATTAGGGTTTAAGGTGATTGGAGCAATGGACAGCAACTCCGGGACGTCGACTTGAAACCATCGTACATGTATATCAGGGGGGTTAGAAGAGCTGTCGTCCATGACTTCCAGTTCCAAAGTAGGGTCAGGTGAATCGATGGAATTCACTGCATTTACAGCGGAAAACGAAATACAGTTATTCACGTGCCAATGGTTAGCTTTTTGTAAATTTGAGATTGTGAGATGGAATGGGCACTAAAAAATAAAATAAAATCGCGGATAGGACCCAGGCAAGGTATGTACATATTGACAAAAGATCTAAGAAAATAGATCAAAAATGAAAGAGAGTAAGCATAGACAAGAAAGTGGTCCATTCCCGGCACAATGGTTAATGTGACATGTTGTGACAAATGAATCAGGTGTGACATGTCTCATGTTGAACCGAGCAAAAGCTTGCAGAACACATTGTTCTGTTGCTTCAACTGCCTTTCTCCTGTGAATTCTCAGGGAGTCTGCATGCAGAGCCATTAAGGAAATTCAGCAAAAACAGCAGGTACAAAATTTGACCACTGAATTCCAAAGCACGGATGTAAACCCGGTGCTTGTTCACCAAAACAAACAAACATGGGCATGTGTGGTAGTGGCCTTCTGCTCCTTGGTAGCAATATGAGCACTGGGATGCACTGTACCATCATGGCCCTGCTCTTGGAAAGTGCAGGATGTGTCATATCCATACATACCCGATCCCGATCCGACTCCCGGACCCCCATCTTCACCACCTCCGGAGTCCTACCCCTACTGCCGTCCGTTCCGATACTCACCTTCAGACCTGACACCACTCCTCCTCTTACCCCTCATGCCACCTCCACCCTTCCGTCCTTCTCCTACCCTATCTCCGTCCGCTCCGATACTCACCTCGGACCGAACACCACTCCTCTCGCCACCCCCCTCCTCTTACTCCTCCTCTACTCCTCCTCTTACTCCTCCTCCTACTCCTCATGACACCTCCACCCTTCCGTCACTCTCCTACCCTTCCCCCGTCTGCTCCGATACTCACCTTTGGACCCAACACCTTCCCTCTCCTCCACTCCTCACCCTGCTCCTCTCTTCTCTCTCTCCCCTCTGGCCCTCTTCCACTGACCCTCTGCCAAGTTATGACCTTCCGCTGCTGTCCCTTACCCTGTACTTGGACACCGCTCATACCTTCGCTCTGAGATTCCATCATAATTCCAACCTCGGACTTTGACTCCACCTTGGCTTAAGTCCATTGCATTGGTGACCTCATACTACATAAACACCATTGCCAATATTCCTCGGACTTTCAACCCTGCCTCCGTAACCTCTGTAAGCTCCATGACCTCTGAGCTCCACAGATCATACTTGGCACTTTCGCCACTTGTAATGTATCTTTCGCATTTTCCCCTCATCCTTATTTGGACTACTGCTTCTTCCCATTCTAGCCAGTTAGTCATCATCCCACTTCACCTCATCCTCCTGCCCCTCTGGGCTTTGCCCTCCCTATCTCCTTTCAGATGTACCACAGGTTCTGACCTATGACCTTCAGTACCACTCTGCTTTCTTCTTCCCTTTGTCCCATTCGGATGCCTTTGTTCCAATTCGGACCCTCCTTGTTTTCCTCGTGCTTTTGCCCTCTCCATTATATACCGGCACTTGTACATACTCGTTTTAGGCCCTTAGTCTAAAATCGACCTGAAATGCCCCCTAGAGACTTCCTGCTCGCTGCCTATGAAATTAAGGACCAAATGGACAAACAGCAATGGCACAGTGCTCTGCTTGAGTCGCTGAGGCCAAGGTCCGTCCTTGCTAAGTCTCCAGTTCCCCTCCGGAATCATCCACCCTCGCCCAGTTCTAACAGGATGTATAACTTGTGTGTGCCCCATTAAACAGGTGAATGGCCTCTATAACTCCTTCATTTCATGTCTGATCTGGTCCATTTTTTGCGCAGTCATGGCTGTAGTCATAATGTACAAGTATGCAAATATTGGTGGAAAAGTGAGGATGTTATGTAGAAATTAACCATTGAGGGGTAGTAACCATTGGCATGTGAATAACTGTATGTATCATAGAAAGTGAACAAGGCTTTGGTTGGGAGCAAACTTTGTTGTTGTTGTTGTTGTCTAATCAGACAGTGTAAGCGCTTTTAGTGGAAATGGCCAGAACCCAAGCAGTCCTGGCCTGTGAATTGGTGCATGTGGGCATTGTGTGACCTTGTCAGGGACAGCTCCGAAAGCGGCGAGGTCCCTGTGTGCGGGACTCGGTGGGACGAATAGCGGCGATCCCGTCGTGGGGTGAGCATCCCTGACCACTTAGTCTGAAGTGGGAAGTTGAGAAGATGGCTGCTTCTTCTGTTCCCACCCCAGGCACTATTATATACATGCGGCTAGGGTCACGTGGAGGAAGCCATGTCATCTCCGCACACAGCCACACCTCCCTGGGTGTCTCCACAGGAGATCCCAGAGGTGGCTGCTCAGTAGGCAGGAGTGTGTGCGGCACGTGCGGCGATCAGGGGGGGGCGGGGTTAGGTATGTAGTGGTACATAGAGAAAGGGAAATCGACTGTAGGATAGAAATAGAAATAGAGATAGAGAGAAAGGGGAAAGTGGGGGAGGAGAGAGGGGGAGTGATAGCGGGGTAGTGCAGTACGGCGTGGGGTGCGGCACGGGGTCAGGCGGGTGTGCCCTGACAGACCTGTAATGTACAACAGAATACATGAATATCCAAATGTACACTTTAGTGAGATACAGGAAAAGGATACCAATACCAGACCAAAAGGCTAGGAATATCAGAGATTGGGTTGGTGAAAGGGGAGGTGGTGGGTAGATGTGACAGAAGGCAAACCAACTGAAAGAAGTAGCGAGACTTGCATGGAGTTTGCGCAAGGTGAAGTAGACCTACTTGAAAGCACAGTGCAATGTGAACTTAAGAATGGAGCTTAGATGCAGACAACTTGTCTGTGGTGCACATATAAGCTTCCAGCCCCTGTTGCAACCAACTGAGGACTTACCAGTCCCAATGGAGCAGATGCAAAGGCAGCACTGAGGGAGCAGACAGAAGGAAACCTTCTGCCAGTGTCACATGCATGTCAAAAAACACGTGAGGAACCTGAAAAACCCAGGATAGTGAACACCTGCAAAGTCCCATCCATGCTGCAACAATGCAGCACCATGCAGCACCATTTGGTGTCAATTACCATCAAGATTAGTCGTGTGAAATAAGAATATTAAACCATGATTATTATCCTGAAACTTTAGGCTGCTCATGAGAGCACCGAGGGCAGGGGTTGGAGAAAATAAAGTGAGAAAATAATAATCTACTGCTGTTTTCCATTCAATAGTCCATGTGACGAATTTTGGTTCCACACTCACTCATTGCACAAAGGCAAGCCTGGCAATGAACAGCTCATATCTCTGCAACCAGATGAGCTAGGGACTTGCAGTTTCTTCTGAAATGCATGTATTTTACTCCTACAGATTAATTAACCACCAATAATCCTAATTCTTGTTTTTTATAAATTCACATTTGTCACAATCCCCCCCATTTTCCTCAACAACAGCTAAATGGAAGAGATGAAAATTAGGCACTAGGTAGTTCTTGTAAATATCTCAAACCCTTTTTTTTTTCTAATTGATAGGACTTTTTTTCATTTCTTAATAAGGTTATGTGCCATTCTGGTGACTGACACAGTCCCCCCCACTTTCCTCAACAACTACTGAGTGAAACTCACACAGTGAGTAGTTCTTTTATATGTCTCACACCTATTTTTGTTTCTAATTATTGATAAGATTTTTTATCGTTTTTTAATTAGGGTGGGTGTTCAAGACAATGGGAGGGTGCAGTGCAGTGAAAGTCAGACAGTAAGTTCTTCTGGTATTTATCTCAAACCCATTTTTTTTCTAATTGATAGGATTTTTTTCATTTTTTTACTTTCATTGCATTCCACCATCCATTGTTGAGGAAAAGCCATCAAACCTGAGGTGAGCCTGCAATGAAGACAGAACCCAATTAAAAAACGAAAAAAATCCTATTGATTAGAAAAAAAAAAAAGGGTTTGAGATAAATACCAGAAGAACTTACTGTCTGACTTTCACTGCACTGCACCCTCCCATTGTCTTGAACACCCACCCTAATTAAAAAACGATAAAAAATCTTATCAATAATTAGAAACAAAAATAGGTGTGAGACATATAAAAGAACTACTCACTGTGTGAGTTTCACTCAGTAGTTGTTGAGGAAAGTGGGGGGGACTGTGTCAGTCACCAGAATGGCACATAACCTTATTAAGAAATGAAAAAAAGTCCTATCAATTAGAAAAAAAAAAGGGTTTGAGATATTTACAAGAACTACCTAGTGCCTAATTTTCATCTCTTCCATTTAGCTGTTGTTGAGGGAAATGGGGGGGATTGTGACAAATGTGAATTTATAAAAAACAAGAATTAGAATTATCAGTGGTTAATTAATCTGTAGGAGTAAAATACATGCATTTTAGAAGAAACTGCAAGTCCCTAGCTCATCTGGTTGCAGAGATATGAGCTGTTCTTTGCTGGGCTTGCCTTCATGCAACATGTCATATCCATGCAATCCCGACCTCCACTCCGGGCTCCCAGAACTCCAAACCTGACTTCCAGAGTCCTACTTCCCTTCTGCCACCTCCTCCTTGCTGACTTCCAAGAGGTTATCCCACCTCCGGCTCCAACACCACCTTCGGTCTGACTCCGGAACATTCCGGGTCCGACCTCATCCTTGACACCTTCCAGACGAGCACACAACACCTATGCTCCCAACTCCGGACCTCCGCTCCGGAATCCTGTTCGCATCTCCGTCTCTGGAACCTCCGGTCTTAGTTCCAACCTCGGATTTTGACCCCACCTCCGCTTATACCCATTGTATTGGTTAGCTCATTCCATTTAATTACATTTGCCAATATTCCGGAGTTTAACTTCCAAGTTCAGGCTTTCCAGACTTACGTCGGACCTTGCAACTATTGCATTGCTCCCGCTTCTCCAGGTTCCCAACGTGTTTCGGATATATCATGGGAAAATTTTTTCTGCATTCTTTTGAAAGAGGGAAGATAGAGGCAAAGAGAGTCACCTCTCTCTTGTTCTTCTTGATCTAATTGGTTGGGACTCATGTTCCATTCTTGTCCTCCTGTTGCGACTCTGGTTGTTCTGGTCTTGGGACTCTAGTTCCATTCTTGGCATCTTGTTGCAATTCCAGTCGGTGTTGCATTCCAGTTCTTGTCTTGGCTCCGGCCTTCGGGAAAGTCGAAATCCGAACAATATCACAATGCTTCTGGCTTGTGCTGTCTCTCGAATTCACAATGTTTTCCCACATGAGCTTCGGCCTTCTCAGCAACCTTCTTGTCTTCAGCTCCCATCTCCCACCTTGGTTCCGGCCTCCTTCTCAGCAACCTCTTGTCCACAGCTCCCATCCCACCTTGGCTCCGGCCTTCTTGTCCTCAACAATCTCGCACATTCTCAGCAACCTGCTGCTATCACAAGTACCAGCTGTGCTCGAACAGAGTTGTGGGTGCCCTGGGGGTGAGGTGGCACAACCTGCTCCCTCAGCTTGAAGTCCATCCTGAGTGATGATGGGAAGAACATCGGTTTTCCATGATGCCACCTTTTTCCTAGACTTCTTAGGTCTACCATGTGACTTCTTGGGTTTACCATGTTGACTTGCAGCTTTCTTCCTTGATGGTGGCAGTGCTGAGGGCTCGTTCATTTCCTCTGCCATGTGGTGAGATGAGGAACCGTGGACTGATGTTGCAGGGGAAGGAAGGGGGTTCAGTTGAAGCTTAAGCTTGGGAGGCAGATGGGACATGGCTGATGCAGAGGTTGACATGAACACTCAGAACAGGGGTAAGGCATGGGTCAATGCCAAGTAGGATGCTACAGTGCAGCTTCCTTGGCACCGAAATCCCCTTCTAGCAATAACATCAGCAAAAGTCCGTTATGCTCCGGAGCATCAAGAGTGGCTGGAGCATGTGGGAGACAAAACAGCAGATTGGGCACTCCTGGAGCCAATAGTGTTCTCCTGGGAGGGGGTTCAGGAGCAGCTGGGAGTGGTGAGGAGTATGTAATGTGCCAGGAGCAGTGGGAGGAAAATTTTGGTCTCTAAAAAGTTGAAAAAAAAAAATTAGGGAAAAATCAAAAAAAAATTCAGGAACTATAGTGCCTTTAAAGTGCTTTCAGGACATATAATTATTTGCAAAATTGAGGAAGAAATGATGGAGAAAAATGGAAAATACTTTCGGAGACCCGAGAAATAATGAGAACTGAATTGGTAGGAAAGTCTGAAAATTGAATAGGAAAGTGAGGGGAAGCCTTGTAAGCCTTGTTATTTTCTGCTGTTCTGATTTTTCCTGATTGTTCTTGGTCTCACTCCCAGCTGCTCCTGGACCCTCCCAGGAGCTTTCAGGAGCTTCCAGGAGTATTTAGGAGCAGCTGGGAATGAGACCAAGAAGAATCGGGAAAAATCAGAACAGCAGAAAATAACAATGCTACAAGGCTTCCCCTCACTTTCCTATTCAATTTTCAGACTTTCCCATCAATTCAGTTCTTGGGTCTCCAAAAGTATTTTCCATTAGCTGCTCCTGGAACCTCCCAGGAGCTTCCAGGAGTATCCAGGAGTATCCAGTAGCAGCTGGGAGTGAGACCAAGAACAATCAGGAAAAATTAGAACAGCAGAAAATAACAATGCTACAAGGCTTCCCCTCACTTCCCTATTTTTCAGACTTTCCCATCAATTCAGTTCTCATTATTTCTCGGGTCTCCGAAAGTATTTTCCATTTTTCTCCATCATTTCTTCCTCAATTTTGCAAATAATTATATATCCTGAAAGCACTTCAAAGGCACTACAGTTCCTGAATTTTTTGATTTTTTCCCTAATTATTTTTTTCAACTTTTTAGAAGTCCCTATTTTTCAAAATTTCCTCATTTCCCTCTATATCCCCCCCTCATTCCCCCCTCATTCCCCCCCTCATTTCCCCCCTCATTTCCCCCTCATTTCCCCCTCATTTCCCCCCCTCATTCTCCCCCATTTCCCCCTCCCCCATATTCTGCCAGCCTGAAAGTGATTAAGTTGCCAGATTAATCATATATCAGGCCATAAATTTTGATTGTGTATTGGTGAGTCTCAGTGTCCTTGATATATAGTATAGTGTTTGATCTAAATGTTAAGCAGTGTCTTGTTGTGTTAGTCTTGTGGTAGGAGGTATTCATGGGGGATCTTCCCTCCTTTTTTTTCCTTTTCATTTTCAAATGCTCCAGGAGCTCCCAGAAGCTTCTCACCCCTATACACTTTGAAGCATTTAAATTGTATTTACTGGATATGTTTGTGCACAAAGCAATGCTCCAGGCCCTCCTGGGAGTGCCCTGGAGTACCTAGCCAACTCCGGAGGAAATGGGCTGTTCCTGGACCAGCCAATCTCCTCCTGATTCTCCCAGTGCTCTCGATACTCTGGAGCACTCAGGAGCATAACAATTTTTTGCTGATGAACTTTGGGATGGGATTAAGTCTGCAACAAAAACTTGAAGCTCTCGTTAATCCCGCAATTTGCTACCAGTGCGAAGACCCAAGAAAACGATAAAATGACTATAGGTACAGGCAATAGTCAGTATCAGAGCGATGTGTGATTGTGAGAACATACTTTGAAGTTCAAAGCTGGAGGAAAATGATGAGCGATCCAGCACAAATACAGCATAATAAAGTCATGTGTGAAATTTGTTTACTGTAGTGTCACACCCACATAATGATGACACAAAACATGAATGAACATCCACAGTGCTGCAAAAATGCAGGGCCATATGGCACCATTCAGGTCGCTAGTTACCACAAGAGTATTGTACATAGGAGAGAAGACACAAACAGCCAAAACACAAGCTGAGGGCAATGAATACGAGGTCACAAATGATAATAACTACTGCCATGGTCATTGTCAAAGCCATTTGAATTTTCAGCATCAAAACGGGAATCAGTGGTTATATCCAGTGCTGCCAAAGCATCAGCGAAAGCACCATTCTCCTCAACCTCATCTGGCTCCAGCTCACCATCCTCATCATCATCTTGACTAATGTTGGAGTCCATGCCATTGTTCAAGGTTTAAAGAGCTGCACACTGAATATCCAAATGACAGAACAATAGACTTCTTTTGGCTGAGGTGGTGCAATTTTGGGCCAAGGAGGTGCATCATTGGAACAGGGGACATCTTTCATATGATCTTGCCATAGAAGGGAGAGTTGGTAAAGAGCATGAAGGCGATCAAGAGCAAGGAAGCCAACATCAACATTCTTGTCTCTTTTGCCTTCACAAGCAACGGAGGCATAGGCCTGATACTTGTCAGTGAGCCACTGCCAAATATTGTTCCACACTCAGTCAATGAATCTCTCGGTTGCAATTCTTTCCCTCCTGCACACAATGAATGCTCTCCCGGATGTTTGCATCCACCATCCAACTCAGGAGCGCATCCTTACCAGGATCGACATCAATGTACTCATGTGTCAGGGGATGACTCACGGGTCTCCATGACCCCCCCCCCATGGCCCACAACCCTAAAGGAACACAGCCCTGTCCAGGGCACACTGCTGTGGGTAAGAAGGTGAGAAGGAAGCTAACTTCTCACCTTCCCACAGTGGCCCAATATAATTGAAAACTTCCAGAGATATCTGGAAGTCACATGAGGCCCAAGACCAGGGGCCTGGGGCATCCAGCTGCACGGAGCGTCCGGCACAGGGCACACACAGGGGGTGCAACGGCCGGGTGTGCATGCAGATGCAGGTGCAAGTGCAGGTGCAAGTGCAGGTGTGGGCTAGGTCAGGGTGTATGCCCTGACATCATCCCAGAGATCCTGGTCAATGTCCAATTTCATGATAGTTTCTTTGCTAAGGAGGGGTGGAAGGTAGCTGTTCTTATTTGCTGGGCTAGAAAACTGTAGCCTTTTTAGGAGCACTAATTTCTCCTTGTATTTATGCTGTAAGTGGGCTAGGGATCTAACCCACTAGGAAAACAGGAAAGGATGGGGACTGGATTGGTACTCAACAGGTCAGGGAAAAGGGGGTAAAGGGAAATATGGTCCAGTGTGTTACAGTGCGTGGTGTACTCCAATCAGTCTCTCACCCCACCTCTCTGGGTGACACTAAGGTGAGAACTGATCTAGAGGTCTTCTTAGTCATCTTCTATGTCATACTACTCCCTACTAGCTTGGGAGGGGCAAACTCGGTGGTTTCTAGTCCAAAGGGAAAGGTAGATACATCCTCATGTACAGTATATATGAGAAATGATCAAATAAAAATAAAGGAAAATATCCGATGAGTCCCATGTGCTTAGGTGGGTCATATCGGCAACAAACAATATCGGAAAAAGGAAGGGAAAACAATAATCAAGAAAACAATAAAGCAATAAATGATTTCCAGCCAAAAAAATATCCAACTCTATCCATCACCAATCAACTCCCGCTAATCATGGATCCTAATACTCCTAAATGACGCGTTTCCAACGGTACCAATATTGTCCAAATCGGTGCAGTGGTTGCTGAGATAAGTGAAATCCAGTCTGAGTGTGTGTCAGGGCCCAGCCTCTGTCCAGGGGTGGCCTTACCTCAGAGCTGGACACTTGTGGTGTCCCAGGCAGCCAGGTGCTGGATCCTATCCCAAGCTCCTCAAACTCACTAAGTGGGGATTGAGTTGTCATGTATTATGGAAGGTAGCTACAACTTGCCTAAGTGGGGATTGAGTTGAGAAGAAGGGTAAGTTTCCCTATTCCCTGCTTGGCTGCTATAAAAGGGAAATGTACTGTACAGTTCGTAACGTGACTATGGGTAGAAGCCAAGCATGTTCCCATGATGCGGAAAAGGTGTCACATGGGTTAAGGCGAGTTGCTCACCTTGACCCACGTGATTTCTCCCATGGGTTCACATGCAGGCTGTAGTTGTGAGAGGTGTGTAAAGATGGGAGGATGAGGGAAGTGGGGGGAGGTCAGGGAAGGTGGTTCTGGGGTTGTATGGTCAGGTGTGGTTGCCCTGACAGTGTGGCTGTCATATCCATACAATCCTGACCTCCACTCTGGGCTCCTGGACCTCCAAAACTGACTCTGGAGCCCTACTTCCCTTCCATCACCTTCTCCTTGCCGACTTCCAAGAGGTTATCCCACCTCTGGCTCTGACACCACCTTCAGTCCGACTCCAGAACACTCTGGGTCCAACCTCAACCTCGACACCTTCCAGATGAGCATGCAACACCTATGCTCCCGACTCCGGACCTCCGCTCTGGAATCCCATTCGCATCTCCATCTCTGGAACCTCCAGTCTTAGCTCTGACCTTGGACTTTGACCCCACCTCTGCTTATACCCATTGTATTGGTTAGCTCATTCCATTTAATTACGTTTGCCAATATTCCGGAATTTAACTTCCGAGTTTGGACTTTCCAGACTTACTTCGGACCTTGCAACTATTGCATTGCTCCATTCAATTCTGCTATTCTCCCTCATTCCTATTTGGGCTGCTGCTTTCTTTCTATTCAGTCAGCTGGCCATTCCCCACTCCCATCCTCCTCCCATCCTCCTTGGGCCTTGGCCCTTCACTCCGGGAAACACCATTGAGTCAAACCCTTGACCCTCAGTGTTGTTCCTCCTTCCAGCTCCCTTTGTCTGCTTTTGGAGTACCCTTGCTCCTTTTGATTTTGGACCCCTCCTTATATACAATGTACATAGTAACTTGTAACCTCAGTCCGAAATCGACCTGATTCCCCCCCTAAGAGACTTCCCCTCTGCTAGATCTGAAATTAGGGATCCCCAGGACAACCAGCAATGGCACAGCACTCCGCCTGAGTCGCTGAGGCTGAGGTCCTTCCATGCTAAGTCTCTGATTCCACTCCGGAGTTGTCCAAACTTGCCCAATCTAACAGTGGCCATGCTGGTGTATGATGTGTTTCATGAAGTGGGGATGTGCTGGGATGGGGAAATCGCGATATTCGGTTTGTTTGTGCAGTACTGGCTGTGCCTGCCTACAATGCAATGTGGCATCGATGCCAGATGAGTGGCTCTTGACTGCTTTCTCCACATGGGCCTTCATGCCTTGGTCAATAGCACAAGCCTTTGAGCAATAAAGCACATTGAGTTCGAGCTGTCTTGAACATAGTTTCCATATCAATTGAGCTCTGAGGACTTGAAAGTTGATGAGTTCATTTGTCCACTGATCATTCTTCAGCTTCTCCAACTTCCCGACAGCAGCATCACCCTGAGCACTGATGGCTTGCATAGCAGTGGTGAGGGATTGCTTCAGCTTAGCCACTTCAGCTGCGACTTTCTGCACAAAGTCTTGCGACTCAGGATCCTGAACATAATCCTCATGTCCCGATTCAGCACTAACAACCTCATCATAGAGTGCCTCCTGAGTCCTCAAAGTGGCACTCAACCGTTGATCATCAAACTGCTCCAACAACTCTGGGATAGGAACACAGTTGTTTGTTGCCAGGTGAGTTGTGACCTTCTGGAGTCGTTCATTGGCTCTCTTGAAACGGTCTTTAAGCCATTTGCCAGCATCAGGCAGTTTTGCTGACTCGATGTGCTCAGCTTGTATATCAATTAAGAAGAGGCGATGATAATGGCCAGTAATGTGAAGCCCTGGAACCAACTGCCAAAGTTGACTCCACACCCTCTTGCAGCCCTTGCCGTCAGTGAGGCCCCAGCACTCTGATTTACGTGGACGATACCAGAGTTGGCATGCAAATTGATGCCCATATGCATGGAAAATAGAAACACCCCATGCAATATGGGGTCCCCATTCAGGCGCTATATCATATTTCTTTAAAGCTGACACCCTATGTCATACAGTATTCCCACTTGCCAGTGGTCTGGGATGTGTTCGAAGAATTTTGCAATCAGTGCAAAAAGGTAGTGCTGCTTCTTGCCAGCGGTCTGGATGTTGACAAGGAAGAGGGGTATGTCATGATGGCACAGGATAGCCATGACTCCGGTATCTGCAAAGTAGTCAGTTGAAGCTTTGATGTGTTCCCCATCGGCAGCGATGAAGGACTCAGAGCATGCATCATACGTGGAGTTTGGAACCAGTAGGTTGGATTCTATCCTATCTTCTGCATTGGCTGAGCCACGTTCAAGATCAACGGCTTCTTCCTCATGATACTTGTGCTTCTTGGAGAGTTTTTTAGGAGGTCAGATCTTCTCAACATGGTCTTTCCACAATACAACAAATTCATCAGATAGGAAGATAGTTCATGGTGAAATGAATGTAGGATCTTTACTGCCCACACCTCCCTCCATTGCTCCTCAGCGATCCTTGTCCTTTATTTGCTTCAACTGGAAATTGGCATCACAACATACAATTGTCTGGAGTTCCTCAGATTTAGCGTGAGGTCCACCAAAGCAGAGGGGGCATCAAGAACAGAGATAATGACTAGGAAGATCCTTGTTCATGTCACTCTGATTGGGGATGTGATGGGTGTTCTCATAGATATGACTCCAGATAGGAGTAGTGGCATCAAACTTGGTACAGAGGTGAGGCTCCTCTGAGTGAGATCTAACAGGAAGGGGTACCAGAGGATCTTGGTTGTCCATGTGGGGGCCGCTGCCACCCATCGCACATGGGTCAAGCCTGTTTGGAGACGAACCATGTGGGCTTGTGCCAGGCTCACCAACTCCACTTGAACCAGGGAGACAAGACATTGGTAATATTTGAGAGCATTGGAAAAATGCCTGTGAAGGGAATCTCTTGTCTCGAAACTGTAACCACAGCTTTGAAGGATTATTTGAGTAGTGGCTGCCCATGCTTGGTTGTTTGGCACTGTTAGAATGAGGCGGAAACGGACGACTCCGGAGTGGAATCGGAGACTTAGCGTGGAGGGACCTTGGCCTCAGCGACTCAAGCGGAGCGCTGTGCCATTGCTGTTTGTCCATTTGGTCCTTAATTTCACAGTAGGTGAGCAGGAAGTCTCTTGGGGGCATTTCAGGTCGATTTCGGACTGAAACCAAGACGAGTATGTACAAGCGCCGATATATATAATGGAAGGGGCAAAAGCACAAAGAGAACAAAGGGTGACCGAATCGGAACGAAGACGTCTGAACGGGAACAAAGGGTAGAGGGAGCGGAGCGGTACCGAAGGTCATAGGGCAAGACCTGTGATACATCCGAAAGGAGGTAGAGAGGGCGAGGCCCAGAGGGGCAGGAGGATGAGGGGAAGTGGGGATGATGACTAACTGGCTAGAATAGAAGGAAGCAGTAGTCCAAATAGGGATGAAGGGAAAATGCGAGAAATACATTACAGGCAGCGAGAGCGCCGAAGGCGGTCCGTGAAGCTCGGGGGTTGCGGAGCTTACGGAGGTTACGGAGGCAGGGTTGGAAGTCCGAGGAATATTGGCAATGGTGTTTACGTAGTATGAGGTCACCAATGCAATGGACTAAGGCTGAGGTGGAGTCAAAGTCCGAGGTAGGGACTATGATGGAGGCTCGGAGTAAGGTACGAGCGGTGTCCGAGTGCGAAGTACGGAACAACGGTAGAAGGTCATAACTTGGTGGAAGGGTGGTGGAGGAGTAACGGAGGGAGGAGAGAGTGGCGGAAAGGAGAGTAGTCAGGTCCGAAGGTGAGTATCAGAGCGGACGGGGGAACCGTAGGAGGATAACAGGAGGGTGGAGGTGTTGTGAAGGGGGAGCGGAGTAGTAGGAGGAGGTGTGTTGCCAGGACCGAAGGTGAGTATCGGAACGGCAGCGGTAGGTTATGACTCCGGAGGTGAAGAGGGTGGAGGTCCAGAAGTCGGGTCGGGGTCGGGTATGCACGGATATGACAGGCACAGTGAATCTGAATAACAATGAGACCCATTCCAACATATCAATGCTCACAGCAAGCGATGGGCAGTATGGGGCACATGGAAACAAGCCTCATTCAACGAGTTGAATGTAAGATGGATGAACGTCACAAACAAGAAGAATCTCTTCCTTCCGGTCAAGTGCACACATGTAACTTTGAGTGGCTGGTGGCCATGCCCACAATTGCAAGCATCTGCCACAGGTGAGACCCCAGAATGATGCAAACATTTCCATTGCATGTACACAGGTATTAGTTGTGGGAGCATGGTACTGTCATATCCATACAACTCCGGACCTCCACCCCTGATTCTGGACCTCCATCTCCTCCTCCAGAACTCCACATCCTCCACATCCTCCTCCCCCTGTTGGTTGTTGAGAGCCCACTCTACCTCTGGCTCCAACACAATGTCCAACACTACCTCCAGTCCGACTCCGGTTTACTCTGGGTCCAATCCCAACCTCGTACCTTCCAGACCAGAGCTTGTGATGCTCCACACCTCTGGCTCCGGACTCCTGTACTGGAACCCCATTGCACCTCCACCTCTGGAACTCCGGTCACGTCTCTGCCTCTGGACTTTGACCCCCTCCTCCATCTTATCTCCTTGTATTCTTTATTGCATTTCATTTATTATGTCTAGCCAATATTCTGGACTTTGACTTCTGACTCCGGACCTCCAGAAATTACTCCGGACCCTGCAGTCTCTACTGTATGGTGTCATTTAATCCTCTTGTTGCTTCCTCCTTATTTAGATGGCTGCTTCCTTTCCACATTAGTCAGCTGTCATTCCCCACAACCCACTCCACTCCTTCCCCTCTTGGTCTTGCCCTTTTGGGAAGCACCATAAAGTTCCAACCCTTGACCCTTGGGGTTGTTCCCTCATCCAGTCCCCCTTTGTCTCCTTCCAGTTCCCTTTGTCCTCTGACTCCACTCCTGTATTATTATATATACACTCTGTACATAGTTTCCTGTACCCCTAGTCTGAAATCGATGACTAGAGAACCAGAATCGACTGGATTGTCCCCCCATGAGACTCCCCCTTGTTGACCTGAAATTAAGGACCACCTTAGACAACAAAGCAGTGGCACAGTGCTCCACTTGAGTCGCTGAGGCCAAGGTCCCTCCTTCCTGAGTCCCTTCTCTGCTTCCAGACTATTACATGCTCTATAACAGGTACCATCCCAATGTGCATGCTGCTTTGCACACTTCATGGCATGATTAGACTGGCAAGCCTCCAGGGGTGTGCAGGCTACTGTAACTTTTGAGTCATCCAAGCTTATGGGGATGACCCCTATGAATGGTGCGGATCAGGTGTGCTGGGGCTGGGGCAGATCAGATGTTTTGAAGCCTTCAAGCTGATCAGCATGGAAGACAGAGGCAGGGAATTGAGCATCTGCAGCTGATGCTTGGGTTTCAGGCTGCTTGGTTGAGTCTTGACATGGAACAGAGGGCCCAATTCCGGGGATGTGTTAGAGACCTGTTAGAACTGGGCGAGGGCAGACAATTCTGGAGGGGAACCGGAGACTTAGCAAGGAGGGACCTTGGCCTCAGCGACTCAAGCGGAGTGCTGTGCCATTGCTGTTTGTCCATTTGGTCCTTAATTTTGTGGGAGGCGAGCAGGAAGTCTCTAGGGGGCATTTCAGGTCGATTTTAGACTAAGGCCTAAAACAAGTATGTACAAGCGCCGATATATATAATGGGGAGGGCAAAAGCACAAGGAAACAAAGGGGATCCGAATCAGAACAAAGGCGTCCAAATGGGAACAAAGGGATGACAGAAGTGGAGTGGTACTGAAGGTCATAAGGCAGAACCTGTGGTACATCCGAAAGGAGGTAAGGAGGGCAAGGCCCAGAGGGGCAGGAGGATGAGGGGAAGTGGGGATGATGACTAACTGGCTAGAATGGGAAGAAGCAGCAGTCCAAATAGGGATGAGGGGAAAACGCGAGAGATACATTACAAGTGGTGAAAGTGCCGAAGATGATCCATGGAGCTTGGGGGTTGCAGAGCTTACGGAGGTTACGGAGGTGGGGTTGAAAGTCCAAGGGATATTGGCAATGGTGTTTATGTAGTATGAGGTCACCAATGCAATGGACTAAGGCTGAGGTGGAGTCAAAGTCCGAGGTAGGAGCTATGATGGAGGCTTGGAGCAAAGGTACGAGCGGTGTCCAAGTACGAAGTACGGGACAGCGGCGGAAGGTCGTAACTTGGCAGGGGTCGGCAGAAGAGGGCCAGAGGGAAGAGAGAGGAAGGAGGAAGGAGGGAAGGTGTGGAGGAGAGGGAAGGTGTCAGGACCGAAGGTGAGTATCGGAGCAGACAGGAGGAGAGTAGGAGGATGACGGAAGGGTGGAGGTGTTGTGGGGAGGAAGCGGAGGAGTGGGAGGAGTAGTAGGAGGGTGGCGAGAGGGGTGGTGTTCGGTCCGAGGTGGGTATCGGAGCAGACAGAGATAGGACAGGAGAGGGATGGAGGAGTGGAGGTGGCATGGGAGGTGAGAGGAGGTGTGGTGCCAGGACCAAAGGTGAATATTGGAATGGACAGCGGTAGGGTAAGACTCCGGAGGTGGTGAAGGAGGAGGTCTGGGAGTTGGGTCGGGATTGGGTATGCATGGATATGACAAGACCAGATCGAGATGAAGGAGTTGTCTCCATGGCGGAGGGCTTTGGCCTCAGTGACTCAGACCAGGAGCGCTGTGCCAAGTGCCCTAATTTACTTACTGGCAACGAGAACTAAAGGGGGATCAACTCTAGTTGATTTTATCACTGGGGTGTAACCTATGTACAAGTTAAGTATATATATAGTTACAGCGAGGGCAGGCCTGTGAATGGCAGGACCGAGTGGAGCAGAGCTAATGGGGTTAAACATTAGCTGACTGAATATTACCGACAAGTCGGGTTACGGGGTTAGCGGAATGGCAGGTGATAACCCAGAAATGGAAAGGAGGGATAGGCCTGAAGGTGGACTTGCAGGGCAAGCAAGTGAATTGCCCAGCAGGGGCGGGAGTGTGCTAGCAGACATCGGAGCTGTCCGGAGGCCTTCAAGGCTCCATACTTAGGGAGGTGTAGGTAATATATTGAAAAAAGGGGTGGTGACCATTGAGGGAGGTGGAGGTGATTGCAGAATATGGGAGCTCCGAGGTTAGTGAAGAAGGAGCAGAGGTAGTGGAAGACAATGGCTGTGGGTGGATATGACAGTATCCCCTTCTTAGGCCTGAACCCTTGAAGGCCCAGAATTAGTAAGGTGAGGGGAGCTGTACTTACAGAAAAAAAATGAAAACAGAAATGAGGAGTGGAGAGAAAGGAGAGATGGGAGAGGAGTCAAGGTTCCTAAGGAGCTTTGGGACCAGGCTTGTCTGGGTACCGAGAATGGAAAGCTTTGATGTGTGATCGAGTTTGCTGGCAAGGAGCCATTGTGTCTCCTCGTCAGTCCCTTCATAGCCTAGCCACTTGACCAGGTAGAGCAAACGTCGGTCAATCTTGGAGTCGAGTATCTCTTCAATCTCGAACTCCATTTCGCCTTTGATTTCTATTGGAGGTGGAGGTGGCTGGTGGCAGTTTGGAATGATGTTCGGGATGGAAGGTTTGATCTGCAAGACATGGAATACCGGGTGAATGGCTCGCATGTTTTCCAGCAGGCGGAGGGTGAGGGAGTGGGTTCCAATGTGGGCAATGATCTCAAATGGGCCGAGGTTTTTCTTGGAGAGCTTCTTGGAAGGTCGGGTGGAATGGAAATACTTGGCCTTTACATAGACTGAAGTTCCTACCTCGAAAGCTGGGGCAGGACTCCGATGGGAGGGTGCCGGGCCTTGGTAATGGAT